GGGGTGAGGGGTGGGGGATGGGTGGGGGGTGTCTCAGGAGCAGAATCACAGACCGTGGAAGAATGCTGCTCCTGCTTCCTCTCCTGGCTCAGCCTGCTTTCTTAAACTACCAAGGACCACCTGCCCACAGGGGGCACCACCCACAGTGATCCTGCAGAGGACCCAGGTTTGATTCCCAGCAACCACATGGTGGCTAAGAACCGTTCTTAACTCCAGTTCCAGGGGAATCCGATGCCTTCTTCTGACCTCCGTGGCATTGCATGACACAGGTGCACTCACATACATGCAGGCAATACACTTGCACACATAAAATAAAAATAATAAAGATTTTTTAAAAGAGAGATTCCGTTTCAACAAGATGGTCAATGCTGGTTTGTAACGAACTAGTGAAGTTCTCTTGTATCAGTGTGTGTGCGTGTTTTTCTGTCTTCTATCTGCCTCCCAAGTTCCCATGCCACCATCGCAGATTCAGCAAATGCTCTGGACAGGACAGGTACGCAGCTGTCAGGAAGAAACAGGCACATACTATACTTAGGAAACCTATAGCTCACGCCACACAGCCCACGGGGCGTTTATAACTTCGCTGGTCTGTCCATGCTGTGTCTCAGTCTCTGTTTCTGTCCTGGTCCCTAAATTACATCCTGTTGAGATTCAGCAGATGACCCAAAGGGATAGTGGACGCTTGACCCTGGCCACTTACCTGAGCAGAAAATTTCTGAAATTTGAAGGAGTTATATTTCATTGCACGGGTAGCTCTTTGAGCGACATAAAGATTTTTTTTCCAGTTTCTCCATTTAATTCAGTTCCCACATTGTTTTACTTGTTCTTAACAGTGACCGACGGCTCCATTAATTTTCTGTTCTGACTGACACTGTAGTCTTTTGTTTTCGCTCTACTCCATGGTGGCTCATGTTCATTCACTGAAAGCCTGCTGTGACTCTGATTTCCTGCAATGGCTGGACCATGACTCATCTGTTCTCTGCCTAAAGTCACAACACTCATTTTCTCTTAAATCTTCTATGTGCCACAAAAGTGAGACTATCTAGAGTGTAAACTCCTACCCAGTCACCCACTGAGTCAGTTTATCCCACATTGCCACACACAATACCAGAGATCACCTTGCAGAGAATGAGAGAATCCATCCCAGGGTCTCTTTTAAGTCCTTGATTTAAAATAAATGACCACATTTTCTAAATTCGGATTTCCAAATTTCGATACTTGGGAAGAACCATGTTCTAGTTTCTTTTTCCATTGCTGTGACAAAACACTGACCAATACCAACTTGGGGAGGAAAGGTTTATTTGTCTTACATCTCCCAGTTTATAGTTCATCACTGAGGGAGCCCAAGGTAGGAACTCAGGGCAGGAACCTGGAGGCAGGAGCTGGAGCACAGGCCATGGAGAAACACTGCTTACTGGCTTGCTCCCCTGGCCCCTGCTCAGCCTGCTTTCTTATACAACACAGGCCCACCTGCCCAGGGGTGGCACCACCCACAGTGGGCTGGGCCCTCCCACATCACTCAATAATCAAGAACATTCCCCACAGACATGGCCACAGGCCAGGCCAATGGAGGCAATTCCCCAATTGAGACTCCCTCAGCCCAGCTGTGTCGAGTTGACACTAAAGTTATCCAGCACAGACTGATACTTTGAGACATTGTTGCTTGCTTAGTTTTTCATGGTTCTGATTATTGATGTTTGAGCTATCACGTTTATTTCCTGTTGAGATATTCATATCAATCACCAGTTTATACGTCCTTCCCTAACTTTTACATTGGAGTTTAGTTCACTCATTCATCGATTGGTTGGAAATTTCTCACACTAGGGAAGTCAGCTCAATATCTGCTTCATGTTTATCAAAGTTTTTCCAGATCTTCACATATTCCACTTACATTGATTACTATTCTCCGTGGAAAGAGATTTATAGTTTTATGCAATTTGTTTTCTTTTTATCTTCTTGATAACCTCCCTCAGACTTCCTTTGTTTTTTAAAAATCAATATTAGTGACTTGGAAGATGACCCAATTAGTAAAATGCTTGTTGGGCAAGAATGAAGGCCTGAGTCCTCATCCCCTCTGGCCTCCACATGCATGCACACCCCCCCCAAAAAATCTATATGTAATATGTTTTTTAATACTACAAAGCTAGTCCTTCATTTCCACTATTTTTTCTATAAAGTTGTCCTGGGAAACATTATTTTCTTTAGAAAATTAACTGTCCGAGTACTAAGTTTTGAAAGGCAATCACTCTGCTTGGTTTTGGGTTTTTGTTTGTTTGTCCTTGGGTTAATTGCTGACACTTCATATTCAGTGTGTTCTTAATGTGCTTTGTGTGTGTGTGTGTGTGTGTGTGTGTACATCCATGTGTTGGTCAGATTGGATTCTCTGTTATCCTATGGAATATTCTGGCTGAACCTTATAACATCATACAGAATCTCAAATAAATGAGAGAAATAATTTTTCTTTTTTAAAAACATTTATTTATATTTTATGTGTATGAGTATATCGCCTGCACGTATGTGAGTACACCCATGTTGTGCAATGCCACGGAGGTCAGAAGAGGGCTTCGGATTCCCCTGGAACTGGAGTTAAGGATGGTTCGTAGCTGCCATGTGGACACTGGGAATTGAACCTGGGTCCTCTGCAAGAGCAGTCAGTGCTCTCAACCACTGAGCCATCTCTCCAGCCCTATAGAGAGAAAAATAGTTTTGTATCTGAGGGAACAAAGCCTCCTCAGAATCAAACAGGCATTATTAAATGCCAGCAAGGAAACCTGATTTCTAAACAAGCTCAGAATTTCCTTAAAAATCAGAGTGGTTTCTAACAGCAGAGAAACTGTGTTCCAACAAATGTTATTATGAAGCAAGTGTTCAAACTGTTTTTCACTTGAACTATATTTGAAACCGAGTCTTCTGATGGAACCCAAGGGCAGAGCCTCCCAACTCCTCAACCAGTTCACACGCCTTTTTCTGAATCCCACACAACTCCTTCCTAAGAGCAAGGCCGGTGTGCTGGATAGCTTTAGTGTCAACTTGACACACCTGGGTTGAGGGAGCCTCAGTTGGGGAATTTCCTCTATTGGACTGGCCTGTTGCCATGTCCGTGGGGGCATCTTCTTGATGAGCGATGTGGGAGGGCCCAGCCCACTGTGGGTGGTACCACCCCTGGGCAGGTGGGCCTGTGTTGCATAAGAAAGCAGGCTGAGCAGGGGCCAGGGGAGCAAGTCAGTAAGCAGCGTTCCTCCATGGCCTGTGCTCCAGCTCCTGCTTCCAGGTTCCTGCCCTGAGTTCCTACCTTGGGCTCCTGGATAACTGTGACCTGGGATATGTAAGCTAAATAAACCCTTTCCTCCCCAAGTTGATATTGGTCAGAGTGTTTTGTCACAGCAATGGAGAAACAGACTAGGACAGCGGGTGTGGGATGTGGATGCACATCCAGATTTGCAATTATAGTTGCACAATGATAAGATCCAGTATAAAATCTAATTTAGTCTTTGAACACAGCCATTCATGTACTTTCTGTCATCCTGTTTGCTTAAAGTTACATCTGTTCTGACTTTATATGGTATTTTAAATTTTAATCCAATTCACAGAAAATATTTTAATTGAAAAAGTATGCATAAAAATTCAAGTTATTTAATACACTGACAGTGCATAAACAGTGTCTTGTAATGACTTCCTTCCTCTTTTCTTTTTCTTCCCCTTGAATAGATGAAGAAGATGATTTTCATTCTTTGTTGATATGAGAAAAGCATTACAACATGCTGTGACACAGACAGGTTCAGTGGCACTAGACACAGTGACAGTTGAACACAGGGGCTCAGGACGGAGGAAGAGAAGGTCCTTCTGTCCTGGGAATTCCAGGGCAGGGCAGGGCTGAGCAACCGGCAGGAGCCCGTGTTCTGTGGGGTCCCAGAGCCAGGAGGAGCCGGTCCCGGAAAGCCCTGTGTCTGTGGAAGAACGGGGCCCAGCAGGAGCGTTTCCACGACGTGGAGACAGGGCAGAGTCCTTTCCAGCGTTTCCCCTCCACCTCAGCTCAGGAGTCCTGCAGAGCACAGGGACAGGGTGTTTCCAGCCCTGACTGCCATGGCCTCGTCACCATCTCAGGCCTCTCCTGGCAGCACTGCGGGAGGACGAGAGAAGCGTCTCCAGCTCCCGGGTCAGCTCTGCTTCGGGGCCCAGGCCCTTCATTCAGCCTAGGGAACAAGGCTCAGGGCAAAGTCCTGGCCAGACCCTGGGTCTAAACTTCGCCCAGTGTGTCTGCCTAATGTCCTGTCACCTCTGCCCTGTGCTGTGGGGAGAGCAAACCTGTCTGAGAGGATGGAAGGGCATTACCTGTTAGCTGAAGTCCAGACTGTCCTGGGAATGAGAAGGAGACAGATATTTAAATATATACAGCAGAGCTGTCCCCAGACACAGTGTCCCCAGCCTCTGATCTGCCACCTGGGATTGCTCTAACACCACAACCTACACAAACCAGGGTGGACAGGGCACAGGCTGACAGCAGGAGCCCAGGAAGCTTCTGCCACACAAACCCAGTGCCCAGTGGCTCCTCCTTCCTGTGTCATTTCTTAACCCATCACCTCTAGGCTGGTTTTCCTTTCTCTTGTCTGTAAGTCCTGACTCCTTGAGTTTTAACTGCAGACTCTTGGTTTGAGAAGTCCCTTGGAAGTCTGAGGTCACCTGAAGAAAGAACACCTTCACAGGGCCACAGACATCCTAGAACAAAGCCGTGTCTCTTTCCCAGAAATGTCTATGGAGAGTCTCCACCATCCCCAGGCTCCTCACCTTCCAGATTCCTTAAGTAGATGAACAGCCCCACCCCGAGGAAGAGCAGGCCCAGCACGAAGCCCCCAACTCCGCTCAGCATCTTGCTCTGTGCAGATCCAGAACTCATCCCTGAGAGAGGAAACCAGGTTTAGAGATACTCAACTCCAACCTAGTCTCCATCTCTGGACCCTGAGATTCAGAGCTCTGGGACTGGGGAGGAACCTTCACTAGCACTCAGACCTCCACTCCTGGGATGATATTCAGAAGGCACCCTGAGTAGTGAGAAGGTCCACACCCCGAAGGGAGTTACACCTGACCCCCCAAAACACCACCCCCCATGAAGCCTCTGGAGCTCAGTGAGGTGCAGTCATGAGGGGTGACAGCTGAGGAAAGGCAGAGCTGAGACGGGACGTCCCTCACGTCAGCCGTGACCCTGCATTGCGCCTGGTCCGTCGTCATCATGCACCTGCAGCAGAGCTGGGAAACAGCCCCAGCCCAGAGGCCGCAGCCAGGGCCATGCAGGCGACCAGGGCCTGTGATGTCACTGGAAGGGTCACAGGAGTGTCTGGTGCACATAACTGTTTCCGGGGTAGAGGTGGTTGTAGACATATCACAGGGCTACCCCAGTGAGCCACACGGAAGGAGAGGACACGCAGCACACAGTGTGTGGGGAGAGAAAGCTGACACTCAGGGTAACCACACCCCTTCCTGGTGGGAATTCACAGGGCCAGGGAACTCCCCACTCACTCCACTCCACTGTGACAGGGCTGGGCAGGCTGGGGTGCTCCACCTGGCAAGTGTAAACATCTCCACTCTGAGGAACGGTCTCCAGCATCACCAGGGTTTGGAAGGTCCAGTCTCCATTCCTGATCAGGCCTGTGGACACAACCCCAGCCGTCTCCTCCTGGCCGTTGCGGAACCATGTGACTTCAATGTGGCCAGGGTAGAAACCACTCACAGCGCAGACCAGGAGGCTGTGGTGCTGTACGTGCTGGGTCTTTGAGGGGTGCACAGTCACCTGGGGCTTTTCTAGGGGAGAAAGGTGGTGAGAGTAAGTCAGGAGCACAGAGAGATCCTCCCTGGCCCGGTGCTTCCTATGTGCAGAAGGTCATGACTGAGAGACCAGATAAGAGACCGGCCTCTGTAAGGGAGTTTCCACTGTCCTGATTCAGAAAGCATTCCCCTAAAAGGCACAGAATTTTAAAATTTCTACTTGTTAGATCACAGAGGTTCTAGCTGCTCCTCTCTCTCCTCCAGAAATCCAGCCATGCCCCCTGCAGTCTGTCAAAGGGCTGATGTGCCCCTGCTGTTAGTGTTAGAGCTTGGAGGTTGGGACTTGAGCAGAGTGGACCTAGCCCAGTCCTTCTCTCTTCTAGTTTCAATATAAGTTTATGGCCTGGAGTCAGGTAAGATGGGCCAGGCTGGTTCACATGCAGTGAGACCTCCTACCACTCCCTGGAAATCTATAAATCTGAAATCCCTTTTTGGAGGAACTTGAAGACTTTCCTCCAGGCTCCCTCTCATACATGATGACTGTTTTTCCCAATGTTTCCCGCTTCAAGGCTCGGTTATGCCCTTTTCCACACATACAGTGAAATCACAATCCTGTTTCTACTTGTGGAGAGCCCTCTCTCTCTCTCTCTTCTCTCTCTCTCTCTCTCTCTCTCTCTCTCTCTCTCTCTCTGTTTCTTTGCTTTTAATAAAATTTGTTAGCTGTTCATTTCTGATGTGTCTATCACTTTTTTTGCTTTTTAATTCTTTAACTGGTGGAGAAAATGAACCCGATTAAGACCCCTAGATGGAAACACCTCCCTCCCAGCCTCACCTCTCTGCTGAGCAGACAACATCTTTATGATCGCATAGTTGAATCTGCAGTATGTGTCTACCTCACCCCGGGTCTGCTCCAGCAAATCCTTCTGGCCATTCCAGTACTGGGCTTGCAGCTGCCCCAGCTCGGTCACGGCGCGGTACTCGCCTATGTCGCTGTCAAAGCGCAGGTGTTCCTCCTGGTTATAGATGTGTCGCTCCAGGAACTGCACCCGCTCGGTCCCATTGGAGAAATGGCACTCACATTTAATCTGATGCAAGAAACGTGCTGTGGAGACAGGAACTGTCACTCTAATCTTTTATCTCTGGGACAAGACACCTGAAGTCCACAAGTCCATCCAAAACAGGCCGATGTAAGAGTGCCCCAGACCACCTCTGAGTTCACTGTGATTTATCTGTGCACCGAGACACACACATGGGGGAGGGGAGAGCAGAGAGCAGGACAGTTGATAATAGCCATAGAATAAGGGAAAAGGGGCTGGAGAGACAGCTCAGCAGTTAAGAACACTGACTGCTCTTGCAGAGGACCTGGATTCAAATCCCAGCACCCACATGACAGCTAGCAACCATCCGTAACTCCAGTTCCAGGGGATGAGCCAAGGCCTTCTTCTGACCTCCGTGGGCATTGCACAACATAGGTCCACTTACACACATGTACACAATACACTCATACACACTCAAACAAAAGATAAATAAAAATATTTTAAAAGAGAAAAGACAGGTTTGGAGTATGTATATCTACATAATGAAACCAGAGAGGGGACCATGAGGTAGAAAACGACGTCGATCCCCTTTCCATAGACTCAAGTCAGAGGGTGTAGGATACGAGGGACAGCATCAAAGTACAGACAGGTTCAGAACACACAAAAAAGTGAGCTAACCTGCTTCAGGTTTACAGCACTACCAGGGGCCAGGGAGACAAGGGGACGGGGAGGAGAATGAATACAGAAGACAGACTAAATAAAGTGTTCTGAAAATACCATAATGAACCGAATCCACTGAGTATTCTAATATACATAGAGTTTTAAATTGAATCATAAAATATATTTTTATGCTTTATTAAAAATATTTGGATCCCCTTTCGTGGTCTCGTGTCAGAGAACAAAGGAGAAAATAAAAGTACAGATAGGTTCAAAACAAACACAAAGTAGCATTAACCTGTGTCAGGTTTCCAGCAGGGTCTTACGCGCTTCAGGACACTAAAGACCAGTCCTAGATGCCCATGTCTATGACACCATTTCAAGTGCAATGAACTTCTGCCTTATCTGCAGGTGCTCACCAAGGAAAGGGGGAAACGCTAAGCCGGCACCCAGCAGAGCTTCTCCACACAGGGGCACAGGCTTCATAAACAGACTTTAGGGAGACAGTAAGATGATGGCTTCGGTTCAGCCTCATAAACTACAGAGGCGGTAACCTCACAGCCTCTTGGAGACAGAACACAGGACCTTCTGGACAAGACCCTTCCTGGTCCTACTGACCCTCCTTAACAGTTTCAAAGAAACCTTTGCATTAGTTCAGTATTTGACTTTTTAAAACTTAAAACAGCAGAACTAGACATAGAATAGAAAAATGCATACAAACTTCTGTTTTTAAAAGAGAAACCCCTGTGTGGCATACCCAACATGATGGAGGTGAGGCGCTTATAGAGGATTCCCTTACATCATTATTTATGAATTCTCTAAGGTCCCTGAAGGAATATGACCTATGACTGGAGATTTCACTAAAACTTGAAAAGCAATGGTTTGCATACGGGGCGGGGGGTCTCTCATACAAATCTCAGAGGCAACATAATCATCCAGGATTCTGTTTGTAGGGAAAATAGTTTGGATTTCATATGAGGACAGTGCGGGGGAGGGGGTTGCTGAAGAAAGTATCACAAATTTTAAAGGACGTAGCCTGGGCAAAGTGAGGATGTAGCTCCCTTCCGTCCCCCACCCACAGGAGCTCAGCACCTCAGGGGCGCACTTACGTCGGGAGTCCCTGACCAAAGCCACGGGACAGCTCAGCATCATCAGTATCACGGTCAGAGCTTCCAGGCAGGGGAGCCACAGACACACCATGCTGAGGAGAGGAGAGGATGGTAGTTTCATAGAGTGAAAATAGAATCCTCTCTACCCACATTGCAAGTACTAAGAACCAGGCTATTCATTATCTTGGTGCTGGTTTGGGTGAGCTCAGGGCTGAGGACCAATCAAAATCAGATATGAATAGCATCATCAGTTGCTGGCTAGAAATTCAGTATGAGGGTCCTTTTCTGAAATCTGCAATTTCTTTCATTAAAGGATCTTTTTTTTTAATGTTTTTTGTTGTGAACCTAAGCCTTTAATGGCTGGACCACAATGGAGTAGGAGGGATAAATGGGGTGAGGAATGGGAGGGCAGGCAGAGGAGGGTGTGTGGGGAGAGATAAGTAACATGGACTTTAAAAAAATCATATGGAAGCCTACCACTATAGAAGCTTCTTAAAGTATATACATATACAAAATAAAAAGAATTGCCATATAATGGGGGGGACATGGTCCCTACTAGACAACATAGCTTATCAAAGAAAAAGGCCAATGCCAGGAATGCACTCCCTCTTTAGAAGCTGCTGACCAGGGTTCCAATGGACCCTCAAATAATACTGGCCATTGTCCCCACTCTGGGTTACCCACCAAAACATGATGGCAAGACCTTCCTGCTGAAGATACAACATATATGAGTTGTAGAACCATCAGGGAGGAATCAAGCTGGGACTGATTTCAAAGCTTCATCTCTACTGGCTAGTGTTTTTAGTTCTGGAAGGTGCTATGCGTGCTACCAGAAGAGAAAAGTAACTATCAACATTGACCAGCGATACATCTTGTGCAGCAACTGGCCTGGCAAGATGTGCCCACTGGTGTAATAGTGGCACAAATATAATGGAGGTAACTAACGACTTTCTGATTATGTTTAAGGTCTACTTCACAATATGGAACCCATACCTGACCCTCGTATCAGGCCTAGGCACCTGTGACTAGACAGGTCACAGGTCATAGGTGAGAACCTGCTACCTGCTATATTTATTCAGGCAAATGGACATAGTATTCAACTGACTCCTAATGACTTACTGTTATATTCATAGATTAATGCATTTCTCAACTCTCACCAGAGAAACTTGCTTATGCAGCAGATGGTGATGAACACAGAGACCCCACCTGGCCGGTGCACAGAGAAGAGGAGACTGCAAAGTGCTTATCCCTGAATAGGACAACTGCATCAAACTTCTGCCTTCCAAGGCTCAGGTTTGTTTAAGGGTGTGAAAGTTAATCTTGGTAAGTTAATCAGGATCCGGGAAGAGGGGGCAGAAAGACTGTTAGAGACAGGGTGATGAATGACCACAAAGAAAACAGTTTTCCAGACAGCTGGGAAGTTATTCTTACGAACTCACCACAATGGTGACAGCATGCACAAGTCCCATGAAATCTCAAGCCAGACAAACTCCCCACCCGAAGACGGAAAGTGGGTAAGAATTCCAAACCAAATGAGTAACTATTGGCAATTGATAGCTGCTGGGAGAGGGAGGGTCAGTTTTGTTTAAGAGTGTGAAGCCTGGTGGCTTGACCAGGCTCCAGTGAATGGGCTCACAATGAAGGGCATTTGGGAGATGATAGATAGATAGATAGATAGATAGATAGATAGATGATAGATAGATAGATGATAGATAGATAGATAGATGATAGATAGATAGATGATAGATAGATAGATAGAGATAGATAGATAGATAGAT